TGGTTGGCTCACATGGCAAGTCACCTCTGATTGGCTCACATGGCAAGTCCACCTCTGATTGGCTCACCTGTCAGCTCATTCTATGATTGGCTCACAGCCACCCCACCTCTGATTGGCTCATATGGTGAATCCCCAACATCTTCCTGCCTCTGATGGTGTTCATTGATAAATGACATGTTGCCATGAGTACAGTTCCGCTTCCACCATCTACTTGTGTCATCTCACAAGACCGGTTTGGCTGAAGAAGGCCCTTCTGCCCATCGGATCTCATCCTTCTAGGAACAATCCCCCTAACCCCACCTTCGCAGCATCAAGCCGCTTTGTTAATGAGTCCCAGTGTCCTGGCCTCAACCACCTTTGCTGGCAATCTGATCCCATGGTTAATTACCATCTGAGCAGGCAAACATTCCAAGTATTTGTCCTGAAATTGCCTTTACATCTTTATCTACACATTTTCACCATTCACTGTGTAATTTACGCTCAAAAATCTGTACAGTATTGTCACACTCACAATACATGACAGAAAGAGCAAGTTCACCCATCTGCTCCTATTTCATGGTATTGGGTTACAATCAAAAATACTAAGATTACTTCTGAAATCTGAGTATTATTATATCACATGAATCTCAGAATGTGAGTCATTTATTTTTTTAAAAAGTCTGGTAAAGAGAGAATGTTCCTGGTGGTGCTATAAGAGTTATAATGAAAGTTTAGTTGTAACTTGCAGCCTATCTAGTTTCTGACATAAGGTGAGGAACTGTAATCCCAGTTTTAAATCTCAAGCACAACACTTCTTTCTTTAAGTTCTTTCATAATAGTGGACAGCACAGGAGAACAGAAGGGAGAAGATATAGACAAAATACATCTGGAGCCTCTGGGTCAGTGCTGAAGTGACGTGACAGATTGTCTGTATCTGTTTAGAACTCCTGTTTTGAACTTATTCACCTCCGTTGCCCAACAAAAGTAAAAAAAACAACCTCTTCTGATCTTCCAGGCAATTTCAATTCCAGGCAGAGGGCGAAACCTTGGGCAAGTTTCCTTACTCCACACGCCTAATAATAATCTCTCCAAAAAAACAAAACAATAATAAAAATTGGTCATTTTCAATCTACGACTGCTTGTGGGACACTGCTGTGTGCAATTGTCTGCCGCGTTCGCCCACAAATATACAGTCAATTCACTTTACAGTGTGTTCTGTGAAGCGCTTTGGGACGTCCTCCCGACGTGAAAAGCGCTATATCAAATGCAAGGATTATTATTACTATTATTATAAACAGTATTTTTCGGTCCAAACCCAACATTGACATGGGGTGTTCCAACGTTCACAACTTGAGTGAAACCGTTTTGAGTGCCAAGCAGCTTTTGTACTTGATTTAATAATAATATTTGAGTTTGAATATAGCGTCTTAATCACACCAACCTTTAGTTCCAAGTCTAGTTTTTAACAATTTGTTTCTGCATCACTTGTACCTTTGGTTTTGTAAATTGATTTAGATTCATGCAAATAATTGCACTACATTTAGNAAAAAAAATTGTGCTATAAATATAATCTACAATTATACCCTGACTGTACGCCACCGAATCCACAATACAGCAGTTTCTTTTTGTCCTTCCGCAACAAAAGAGATCCCACACAAACTCAAGAAAAATTCCTTTGTTTTGCTGATTTACAAGCATCAATCTGAAATTGGTTAGCTTCATGTATACCACAAAGTGCAGATTAACTGGTTTTTCAATGCAACCAGAAGGTGTGAGCCTAAATTTTCCTTAAAAGCAAAAATTAAGTGGAAGATTTATTCTTTGACTGTCTAGATGTGCAACATAATTTGCTTCTCAGCATGTGGAAAATGACAGTGGAAGTAGAATGCTGGACCCAACAATAACCATCCCTGACTAAGCAACACACAGAAATAAAGCATTTAAAAGGCTTTCCAGTAGGTAGAGCTGGATTAACCAGCAGGAACATTCTAAACTCTATGATAAAATCTCACAGGTTCCAATTCAGTATATCACAGAGATTTTATGTAAATTACTTGCGCTACCTGCTTGAAATTGAGCACCTCTTGGCTTGGTGAGATGCTATCCGGTGAACGGTGCTGTATAAATGCAAGTTGTTGTTTACTGTAGGCCAGGAAGAGTATGTTAACATAACTATTAATTTGAGTTTCAATGCAAAGTGCTGTGGTGAGTTTCCAAGGATCTCATGAGCAGAGGGAAATGAGGAGAAATTACAATGTAGATTTAACCTCTGCGCTGGAAATATCTGGAGTTGCAGGAGATCGGAATTTATACCCATAATATGTAGAATAAAG